TTGTCATTCAAGTTGATACGAAGTTTGACGGTCAGTGGTGATCTTGTTCCAGTATGGTTTTCAAAAAACGTCTCCCGACACTCGGTTGTGTTTACATTGTCAGTCATTGTTCGAAACTGAAACACCGCCACCTTGCGGGCTATTTATAGTCAGGGTGGGGCTTTAAGTCCATCCCACATCTTGCTTCTCAACATATCGTCCTGTTCACTCAAGCTGAGTGAAAGCTGTGAAGAAATCTGATAAATGAGATTCTCCAGTCGGCAACCCCATGCAGAGACGTCTTCATTCTCCCCTTGAGTGGCACCGTAGAACTCTGACATAAGAGTCTCTCGCCTCCTAAGTGTCCCAAAAGCAGACCTAATCTTTGCCAGAAGTTCATCAATATGAGCTGTGTGACCAAGCTTCATGGCAATCAAAGCAGCTTCAATGACTTCCGAATAGCCTGCAAAATAATATCAGGTGTATGTGTTCCCGACTGTAGGATACAATCAACCTCGTATCTCCATAGGTCATATGGAGTATCCTTGCCTGATTCGCCGCTAAAGAAAGGTAACTTAGGGAAATGATGGTAAGTTGCGACAGGAGGCTGTGGTAAACCAGTCCCTGACATGGTATTAGGCTTGAAATCAGTCTGTGCAGCCGCTCCAGACTCTAACACAAGTGGACCTTCCTGTTGTGCGACACTTGAAATACAAGTCTTAAGGTCCTCAGGGGTGTCAACCTTAGGAGACATCCCCATCTTGGCAAAGACTGTAAGTATACTCTTCAATTCTTCCTCTCCGAGTTCCATGGTTAGAGATAAAATCAGTGAGAGTGCTCCGGGAAGTCCATGAGTATATCATATACACAAAAACAAATGAATGGATCGTATGAAAGAAGACACAAATCAAATGTGTAAACCGTCAAATCGTGTGAAAGATAACACAAGTCTGATGTGTAAACCGTCAAACGAACAAAACGGTATATACTATAGTCACATGATGACTTATGTAGTTGTGACTACGTGATGTAGCTTAATTTGGCAATGTGTATTTGATAGGTAATCCCCCCAAAAAAGAAAAACTACATGATGTGAAAAAAAAAAGAAAATACCCGAAAGAAGATATAGCTAGGGCGAGATAAATGCAGTTGTTATTACGGGTAATAACAATACACGTGGAAAGAAAACGGTTGCAGTTGGATAACTGACAAGTGAGACTTACTTACCAAATAGGACTAATTCATGTTGGCTAAATGTAGAAACAAAACAGAAATACAAGACAACACAATACGACATAGGTATAGGGAATGTGTTAGTAACAGTGCAGTAAAGTAGTGCTTACTGAGTCTGTCGTCAGGCTGTCGGAACATGAACACTTACATGATTACATTTTAATAAATACCTATTTATGCTTTATTATTTAAAGGTTTATTTAACAGAAAAAAATGAAAGCAATAAATCACACGCTCATACTCACATTATGATTGGAACTCACTAAACTAATGCAGTATTACAATACTCAAGGTATGTAGATGTACTAATAGTGATACACAAACAGCAATGAACACATGAACTAAGAAAACTAAAATAACTAAGAGTAACTTAGAGTAACTAAAGAGTGACTGACTTGGGTTCAACGCCGTTATTAACAGCATTCAAGTTATATCACAGCGTATCAGCTTAATGTGGGGGAATAACCACAAGTGATGCAGGTCTTAGACAGTTACCACTTTGGTGAAACCCAATGGCACAGGGACATGGTGCTGACAAACCTAGAAACATAAAAGGGGCAGTCCGGATTCGAAACGCTAAGGATAACTAATGGTGATCACCAAGGAATAAGATAAAATAAATAATTGTCAAAGACTACATGATAGCTAATATATCTGGCCAGAAAATATAGAAATATGCAATAACAATACACAGCTACTAAAGCTAAATTACACAAGTGTTGAAAGAGTTGGTACCAGCATGGCTGAAGCAAAATATATTACAATACATGTATGACGCAAGCAAGAAAATATTTACACTCAAGGCCTTATATATTGAAAGTATAACAGAAAGAACTGTGTACATGTCCTACATGACTTTTATCAAATCAGTAAACACAGCTTATCATTAGCTTTCAATGCTGTTTTAATATAGCAATAGATCTTTGACAAATATCAAATAAGGTGAAAATTACATCATATAGATATGTGTAATATATAATAGTAGTAACTAGCATCGGCCTAGAACCACTCGGGATTCTGGAACCGCTCAGGATTCTGGAACCAAGATGGCGGCACATCCGTTTCCGGTCACGTGACCTGCGCAGTGCATGATGGGTACCTGCGCGCGCATGCAAGATGGCGTCGCATCCGTTTCCGGTGGCGCGCGCGTGCAAGATGGCGTCGCATCCGTGTCCGGTGGCGTGCGCATGGAAAGAGGGCGTCGCTTCCGTTTCCGGGGAGGAGGAGGAGGGATAGGGGGAAAACCCGGAGAAGCGCCCGTACGAGGGGGAACAAGATCGACAGGGTTGTTGTTCTTGTGTTGTTCTAAAAATAGAAATAGACGTGGGGGTGGTGGTGGGGGGTGGTGAAGGGAGGGAGGGAGGGGGTGGGGAGAAGGGGTGGGTTCACGGTGTGGTGGGGGGTGGGGGGTGGGGTGGGAGGGTCGTCAAAGCAAAGGAGGAAAAGCTGTCTTTCGGGAGAGATGGGTGGCCCTGAAAAGGGCCGTTGGAAAACAAACTGGAAACTGGAAACTGGAAACGGCAGGAACACTGGAACACTGGAAAAACTGCAAACGATGGGAAACGGGTAAAAACAGTGGGGCAGCATGACCCATGCGTTAGTCACTTTGTTCAGAGGATCTCACTTCTCCATCCTCTACTTCCATCTCATCCTCGGACGGAAGGTGTCGTCGGCGCTTTGAAACGTGTTTTCGTGAGGGGGACCTGTTCCGTTTTCTTTTCTCTAGACGAGGTGTGATGTCTACCCGGAGTTGTGTGAGACATTCTTTTAGGTCGAGGACATCGGAATGCATGTCTTCGATGAGATGAAGCACTTGTGCCACGGGGGCCACGGGGGTCACGGTTGCCACGGATGCCACGGGTGTCGACGTGGACGGTGTTGCTAACGTTTTCTTTCGACTGGGTTCTGGGCAATCTGCAGCGAAATGACCCAGGGCTCCACAGTTGTAACAGCGGTCCAGGCGATGGGGAGTCTTCTTTCGACGGGGTTCTGGGCAATCTGCAGCGAAATGACCCAGGGCTTCACAGTTGTAACAGGGGCCCTGGTACTGCTTCTCCTGCTTCTCCTGCTTCTCTTGACTGTTCAGCTTCGGACAGACATAGTGACGGTGACCTTGAGTGTGGCACTCGGTACATGTCACTTCAGGGCAGTACAGGTAACTGTGACTGTCGGTCTGGCACATCCTACAACTGTATCGAGCTGACATGATGGGTTTCATAGAATGCAGTGTGTGTGAGTGGCTTCGCTCTTGTTTTGTTTTTATAGGAGAGACACTGACACCCTGCTTCCTGATTGGTTCCCCAGGCCGCGCCCCCGATTGGTTCGTTCCGGGGCCTGGCCTGCACCTCGGTTTTCCAAAACGGACCGACCCCTGTGTTTCTTTTCCATAGGAAATGGATTTTACCATGGGAGAGAAAGCACAACCCCGGTTCGACCAATCAGAGCCCCGCCTGGTCCGAGCGCCGCTTCTGATTGGTCGACCACCCAGGCTTCGGATTGGTCCGATTTCGATCCGGTTTTTTATCGGGATGTGCATTTCGATCCTGTTTTGTTTTTTCTTCATCCTACAGACAACATAACACGACTATGAGTTTTTAACAAAAAATTTAATCCCCTGATCACATGAACCAACACCACAAAACAAAAGTCACAGGATGAGGGGGGACATCCCTGTGATTTTTGTGAACACGAGGGAGGGGTGACCGCGAGGGTAGGAACGTCTGACCACTTTGAAAAAAAAAAAAAAAGAAACGTTGTCACTTGGGGTGAACAAGACACTCGACTCTTCGTTTCCGTGCTTCTTGGGACACCAAACGTCTGTATTTTTCGTTCACTTCTCCATCAGGACAAAACACACACAAGTATTCGCAGGGGACTTTGGCATGCTTCAGATGTTCTTTCCAGGGTTGGTCTGTGGCTTCCCATTGGCGGAGTGCCACACCGCAGCAATAACAGGTCACACAGTCCCCTCGTCCTGGATAGAAATAGCCAGCCATGGCCATGTCATAAGGGGTCTGGGTCATCTGTTGAGGCCACGTTTTAAAAGACCTCAGACGTTCTTGAAATGAATCATAGTGGGGATGAGAAGGTTGACACAAGGTGTAAGAAGGAAAAGGTCTCTCCAGAACGTCACCGAGTCGACACCTGTCGTCCATCAAGAGTGTGTCGTCCATCAAGAGTGAACGTTTTCTCGCTTCTTGTTCTCTCGCCTTTTCAGACACCCACTCGGAATCGGTGACGACATCTCGGGAGGATGACATGGCATTCATAGAACGTCTTTGCTCCATGATGACGGTGACTTCACTGAAAGAAGGTCTGAGGGTTCGCCTGCTTTTATGAAACTCTCCACCCTACACCCTTCAACGGAAGGTCATGACTTTAGCTTTTATGAAACTCTCCACCCTACACCCTTCAACGGAAGGTCATGACTTTAGCTTTTATGAAACTCTCCATATCCTCCACCTCATCACGTGACGTCATCCTGTGTTTGGGTTGACGGACACACGGCATGATCCATGACATGATCCATGACATGACATGGTACACGGGGAGGGGTGTAGGGGGGATCGATGCGTCCTGGAATGACTGACACCAGGCAGCTGATCTTTCAAGCATGGCCTTTCTCTTTTATCTATTTTTAATTTTAATGTTACACTTTGGTGTGCACTGACATGACAGAGGCACAGACAGACAGACAGACAGACAACATAGACGACATCTCAACTCAACCTCTACCCTCGGTTCGGCACTCTATTGGAGTTGAGATCAATCAAGACACAAAGAGTCAGTTCAATCAATCACTGTTTAATCATGAAAAAACCAATCACAACCCGATACAATGGAAATACGAAAAGTCAATGGAGGAGGGAGTGCTTTGCATGTCCCTACAACCACCACAACAACAACAACAACAATAACGCGACAACGTTTTCCTCTTCCATCTTCAAGCTCTTCCATCTTCAAGTCCCTAAGAGGGGGTCCTCCCTCAAACCTGTGAGAGGGCCCAAGCGTTCAACACGTACAGTCTATGGCCTCCCTGAAACAGACATGACACATCACTTGATCACGGTTGCAGCTGGCGTGTTGACAAAGTTCTTCGAGTGAAGAGGAGGATCACCATAAGATGTGATCCTCAGATGCGATAGGCATGTCATCATGTGTCACTATGCTGTCATAGGTCAACATACTACAAGTACAGTCTATGAGCTCCAGCTCACAGGCATGACACATCACTTGCCCGCTGTTGCAACTGATGTATCTTAACATGTTGTTGTGTCGGCAAACACGACATTCGCGTTGTAGGGGAGTGAGTTGAGCTTCTCCATAAGGATCCAGGTCAACGTTGTCATCATCATCATCGTCGCAAACCATGGGCGTACCTGAGGAGTAGACATGAACCTCTTCCGGGGATGCTGGTGACCAAGAAGCCTCGAGCAGGGGAAGCGTGTCCAGATCCATGGAAGGGAGAGTGGCCATCTTGAGCGCTTCATGATCATCGAGGTCACCTGTCGCCATCGTCACAGGGGCATTCGGTGAATAGGTGGGCTCCCGAGGGGTTTGTTCCCACCACTGTTCTAGCACGGACTGGGCTGAACTGACATCAGGGGTCCTGTCAATCATAAGGACAGAGTCCATTTAGGATAGGCATAGGTCATGCATATGAATCACATCAAGAATGACTGAGACAAAGAAGAGCAGGGTACTTACAGTTGTTCTTGAGGAGAGATCTTCAGAGATAATTTCTTCCGTGATCGTCTTTTTGCAGGCGTTGCAGGTGTGGCAGGTTTCAAAAAGGATGTCCCCCTCGTGTCGATGTCTGTTGTCGCCGCAGTCGTGGTTGCTGTGGCTGCTGTGGTGGTGGTGGTGGTGGTGGGGACTGGCGCTGTGGGGGTGGGGGTGGGGGTGGGGGTGGGTGTTGCGGTTGCTGTGGGGGTCACCACGGCTGTGGGTTTGCGTGTCTTTTTCTTCTGGATCTTCTTGATCGTCTTCTTCGATGTGCCTTTCTCGGGTTCAGTCAGGTTCCTCATCTTTGAACGTATCTGGTCGCACATCAGGTTGTCGCCCTTCGCACGTAACTTGGCGTACGCGTCGTCGGTCTTCATCTTTAAACACAGCAAGTCGTACACTTCACCCCACAGTTCAGCAGTCATGTTACCGTTCCCATCTCCACTGCTTCCTTGGCCACTCATGTCGCTTCGTGTCTTGTCATTCAACCGTTTCGACATGTTGTTCGACATGATGTTGTCCGGATGTTCTGTTCGTTGTTGTTGTTGTTTCTTTCCAAGTCTTCACGGAGGTACGTCAACACTTGATGGTACTCTCTCCAAACACGCGTTTCTTCCAGATAAAACGCCAACAACCAACACAACGTGAGGAACATCAATCAGAGGGGACGATGTTGTTGCTTGGTCCGTTCAGTGAAAAGTGATGACCGGAGAGCGTCGGTCGTATTAAAAGCCACGGAGGTCCTGCTTTCTGATTGGCCCGTTCCGGGGCCCGACTTTCACCTTGGTTTTCCAAACTGGACCGACCCTTGTGTTTCTTTTCCATAGGGTTAGGCTTGTAGCGTGAGAGAGAAAGCACAACCTCTGTTCGGCCAATCAGAGGCCACCCTGGCCCGAGCGCGGCCTCTGATTGGTCGATCATCCAGGCTTCGGATTGGTCCGATTTCGATCCGTTTTTTTCTGTAGGGGTCCATGTCGATTCAGTTTCGATCCGCTGTCATGAAAATTTTTAGTGAAAGTCGTCTCTGTACCCAAAGGGGAGCATGTCTACAGGTAGCCCTGTGATGTCGTCGTAGACGAGACGTCGCTTGTCGTACACGGTACGATAGTCTTTTCGGGTGGGTCGGGTCACGAGTGCGTTTTCGTGCCGAGGGCCTTTTCGAATGATCTGATGAGGGTAATCCAAACTGATTTTCTCCTCCTCTTTCCAAGGCCGTTGTCCCAGTATCAGTCCTTTCATGGTGTCAAAGTTGAGATGGCGTTGGTTTCGGTAATTCAAAGTGAACCCTCGCACTTTGCAGGTCGTGCGCGTTCCATCGGGTCTGGGGTTCATTAACTCGTAGCCATAGTTTTTGGGGCCTCCCGACACAAACGTCTTGATGGTGTTTCCGTCCAGTTCATCCGTAAACTCGCCCAACGAATGACCCTGCGGTCCACCAGGGCAAGGGTCTCGTACAGCTTGAGACGTGCTTGGGCGGTGACCCAAGCAGCGATGGCGACGTTGAAATGAGAATGAGGGGTTTGGAATTCTTTCTGCTGGGTATAGGTCACTTCCACCATGTGTTCGTTGACAACGACCACATCCTCGATGGTATTGCGTTCATCCCTCCACAAGGCAAAGTACTGTACAGGATCGTTCATATACACGTTCTGACTGTAGTCTACCCGTTGCCCAAACTTGCCCCAGAGCGAATTCAGTTGCATCTTGGCAATCGTGCGACATCCTGGATTTTTTTCGATGCGGTCCTTGTCCAACCCAATGCCTTCTTTGTCGTAGATCTCCTGGATGTACGCGTCGTGATCCGTACATCCTTCGGGGTATCCGCTGGCTTCGAGCTTCTCCTTGAAATGTCGATCGATGTAAGTGTCAAAGAGTCCCACTTGCTGGGTGTCGGGGTCATGCTGTGCAAAGGTGTCAAAATGCCAAACGTCGTAGATCTGAAGCACCCGGTAGTCATACTTCTTCACGGCTTCCTGGAGTTCTACGGTGGCGTACGTCCCCACCCATGACCTCTCTTCGTCCGTGTGCTCGCAGGGGGAGTCTGACCGGGTATCGGCACACGTGCGGCACAAAGGACAGAGCAGTTTGCCACCCGATCTGTAAGGCAGAAGCGGATGGTAAAGTCGTTTCGGGGGTAGGACACGGCATTGGATCAGGCCTTTCAGTTCAAACAACGTGTCCACAGGGGGTTGATGGAGAAGGGTCGGGTGTCCCGTGGGAAACGCTCCGGTCTTACAAATGTAAGGGTAAAGGGAACAAATATCGATGTACTTGATGGTTTCACCTTCTTGGGCTTCGTAGCATAATCGCGTCGCATTGGTGCGTCCTCCATAGAAGGCGTCGCGAGGGTTGAGTGGCCCGGGGACGTGGATACAGCGGGGTCCCTGCAAGAAAGCACGCAGAGCGGAGTCCTCCCGTTGTCCTCCCGTGCTCCCACAGGGTGACGATCCGTTTCACCTCAGGGTGTTGACTCAAGAGACTCAAGCGGTAGTGGGTGTCGGTGTAACGGGCTCCCAACGACGAGCCCAGGACGGGATGCGGTTCTCCACGTCGGGTCTTGTGACAGACCTGGCACCCATGCCAGAAACAGCCCAGGAATTCGTAGACGGTGCCTGTCGCTGGATCGTAGCCATCCACGGTGTACCGATGTTGACCCCCTCCACACGTGAACTCTTTTTCACCGCCATTCCTGGCGTGCTGGAGGTGCAGATGGGGGTCCGTTTCCATCAGATAGTGGAGCCAGTGCATACAGGCCTGGGAATAGTTTCTCTTGGGTTGGTAGCCTTGAGGTGGGAGAATGGCGATGGTATTGGGTTTCAGGTCGTGTTTTCGGAAGGATTTGATGGTGAACGCTGCAGCTGTCATCACTTCCACAAAGGGATCCATGCCCACCGAGTGGATGGCGTTCTGTCGGAAGTCGGCACATCCCCGTCTCAAAATGTCCACATCGCTTTGGCAGTAGGTTAAAAGTTCTCCTTGTAAGTCGAACAAGGCTCCTTCTTGCACTTTTTGGGTATGCCACTGGAGGAAGGCTGTGCGTTCCGCGGGAGACATGCCATCGGGATCGTACGTGACGGCAGGTGGATAGGGACCTCTGTAGGTCTGGTTGACTCTCGTATTGAAAAAATGTGGAAAGTACCCTTTCTTCATTTCTTTCAGCCCAAAGCTCTTGGGAAAGGCTTTCAGGGGGTAAGGGATGAAATTTAAGCTGTCTTCGAAACATAACCATCCCAGGGTCATTTGCAAAATTTGTTGGCCATGCCGAATCTTGGTGGGGAGTGTCACCAGGAGGGGGGACAGACCCTTCAGGACTAAGTGTAAATCATAGGATCGTGCATTATGGGCCATCACATAAATGCGATCCTCCTTCGGGACTGTATGGCAGGAGGTGTTCTTGTTCTTTGGCTTCTTTGTTTTCTCCACTTCCATGACCTCTTCCCCCTCTTCCATCTCCTCCCCCTCTTCCCCCAACTCCTCCCCCTCCTGCTGGGGTGATGCCTGTCGTTTGGAAGCGTGCTTTCTTGAGGGGGTGTCATCCCGTTTTCTTTTTTTCCCCAGGTGAGCTGTCGTCCCCTTGCGTGTGCTGCCTTCCTCTTCCTCTGGGTGGGGCTTCTTCTTGGGTATTTCAGACAACGTGGTCAACCACACACACACATCATGTCGCGTGGTGGGGCCTCGAAACACGATCTCACGGCTGGGACCATACCCTTCCTCTCTCCATGGACAGTGTTCGGACAAGTCGTTGCTCACTTCACTGATGCATCGTCCACATCCTAGTTGCACCACGCACAAATCTGGAATGTGTTCCCCCGTGTCTTGCATGCATTCAAAATCGTAGAAGGCGTATCGGACATGGTCTCGTAGGGGATGTTGTTCCTCTTCCCCCTCCTCCTCCTTCTCCGGCTCCTCCCCCTCCTCCTCCTCGTTTTCTTCACGGAGAGGCGTCATGTAACAGCGATGATCTGGGGTCATGGGTTCTCGGCACACCAAGCAGGGATGTTCTTCATCGAAGCACGCGTGGTGAGCCATGGGGGTCTCCAAGACGCGGACCAGCTGAAAACAGTTCGGGCACCTGTGAATCGATTGACAGACGCTGGGTTTTCCCTCTGACGGTGACTGGAGATGTCGGGTGTAACACGTTGGATTGGGGAACCAACCTTGACATGTCAAGCAAGGGATCCCGTGCTCTTCCTGGGGTCCACAATAACTAGAGTAGAAGCAGCGGTGACAGCGGTATTCCTTGGTGCAGGGATGATTTTCGGGATGGTCGTAACGTTTGTCACAGCGTTCGCAGTAATGGTTAGAGCCATAAAAAGCGGGCATGGAAGTGATGACATCGTAGTGCTGATCATGATGGTATAGATGCAGCACGGTGGCGTGGGGTGGAGTCTCATCACACTTGTACAACAGTCTCTGACCCACCTCTTGACTGTAGACTTTCAGTTGATAATTCAGGGGGGCCAAGGCCCGTCCCACGCGTGCGAGGTCGTCCAGACCCCAACAGGGGCCTTCGGGCAGGCCAAGGCTTCGAAACAAGGCCCGTGCCCGTATGCCTTGAACGTCGACGCGATCCGTTCTCGTCAGTCTCATTCGCTGGGCGGTCCATGCTGGGGTCAGAGGGTGAGGCTGGTGGGCATAATGCTGTGCCACCACCAGGGCCCGTGCCACCACCAGGGCCCGTGCCAAACAGGATTGATCTTCGTTCTTGATCCGTACGATGCACTTTTTGCGTGTTAAAAAAGCTTCGAGTCCAATCACGTTTTTCAGTCGGAGACGGCCACTGCCCGATCCTAGTCTGTTGGGATCTGCGACGTGTACTAAGGTCACATCCATGGTGGCATCGATGTTCAGGTCTTTGTTGGACTGTTGGACTTTTTCCACGGCTTGCAAAATAGCTAGCCCATGGAGATCTTCAAAACGTCGAAAGGGATTCCGTATGGGAGTGTTCAAAGCGGGATGATCGATACCTAGACCAATACGATCTCCCTTCTGACCTGATATCTGTTCATAAAAGTCATCGATCACCCTGTCAAATAAAGCTGGCAGTTCCATGGGGATGCGTTCCGGTGGTACGGTGTCCAAGTAGTCTGGGTTGAAAGTCAAACGATAGGTATGATTAGCAGTTCTTAACCGTCTGGAGCGGGTGA